TCAAGCTTTGTTGTTTCCCAGCAGCACTGATCCACCATCTTGATCATATAGCTCCTCGAACAATTCTCTGTTAGGAGTCATGTGCCAAGTGAAACCTGAATCCATAATCCATTCTTTTTTTGAGTCGCTACTTGAAACCATAAGAACATCAGATGAGTCAAAGTCATCTTGAACAATGGTTGTGTTGTTATTATCCTTACCTCCATGATCTTTCATGCACTTAGGACACATCTTTCTTGTGTGACCCTCCTTTTTACATTGATAGCATCAAATATTAGATGCCTCGTCATTATAAGACTTTTGTTGACTTTTACCTTTCTTCTTGTCAAACTTACCATCCTTTCGCAAGAATTTTCCCCTAACGACCAAACTTTCACCAATTGTTGAAGGTTTATGCTCCTTTCGTTCGTCTAAGTTCTTAAAGTACAGGGCTGATTGAACTTCTTCAAAGCTCAGGGACTCCCTTCCATACAGGAAAATTTCTTTGAAGTGAGCATATGTTATGGGCAAAGCGCACAACAACAACAACAGTGTTTGATCTTCATCAACAATCTTCACATTAATATTTTCAAGATCAAGAACCAGCTTGTTGAACATATCCAACTGCTCAGCCAACATTTGTCTTCACTCATCTTGAATGAATACAAAGCTTGCTTTAGGTAGAGTCGATTCACCAGAGATTTGGTCATGTACAAACTTTCAAGTTTCAACCATAACCCCGATGTTATAGTCTCCCTTGATACCTGTCGGAGAACCTTATCACCAAGGTTCAACAATATTGCGATATGGGTTTTCTCTATCATGGTCATCTTTTCTTTTTTGTTAATGCGGCGTTCATGGCTGCCTCTCTTTTCAATGCTTCCAAACAACCCTACTGAACCAGTATGGCTTTCATCTTCAAGTGCCACAGACCGAAGTCGTTCACTCCGGTGAACTTTTCAATCTCATACTTTGTTAAAGGTATCTTTCTCCATGCTCACCACACCAATTTGTTGTGAAAAAGGATACCTTAAAATAAAGTATAAATAGTTTCTTTATGATAAAAAAAAACACAAGGGTTATGGTTAATGGAAAAACAAGAAGAACAACAAAAACAAGAAGAAGAAGAACAACAAGAATTAGTTATAACTGATATTCTTTACTTTCTCTTTGAATCAGATTACAAGTACTCTAGAATCACAAATAACTCTCTCACCCTAATTAGGATTTGTCATACTTAAGATGAGAGACTAGTATGTTATTTATAATAAAACCTAACATACTAAAATAATGAGTTTTTTTAAACAATTATCCATTACAAGTTAACTTAAACAATTGGATCCTTAACACAAGGTCCAATTCGACAACTACATACTAGAACATATTTCGACTACAACATGTAGAACCACATGTGAGCATACTTTGATGTCATGCTAAACCTCTATCAACAATACCAGAGTTCAATCCAATATCTCACAAGATCGTTATTGATGGATCTGTCACTGAGTCAAGATACTTGTTAGCGCAACAAACACATAAACCATTCTCCCTAATGAATTTCAATTCATTATTGATGTTTTATTTACAACTAAGTAGTAAATAAACTCAAAACCATATAAGGTGATCGGGAACCTCTTGCTACTGCAGCTAAAGTGATGGGATGTGCCTAACGGGTTTTTGGATGTTGAATCAATAGTTTTTATTCGCAATCCACTTTTTAGGTGGTTATGTTAGTTTATAAACTCAAATAAACCAATATTAACACCTTTCAAGTGGTTATGTTAGTTGATAAACTCAAATAAACCAATATTAACAATCCTACATCAATAATCATTCAGACATTTTAACAAACACATTATAAGCCTAACATTCTTATCCAGATAAATAAAGCAAACCAATAAATATATACAAATCATTTACATTTCATAAGCATGGAGTTGATGACGTGCAATAAAATACGGGCACTTGAAATATCAACACCAATGATTATAGGTAAGCTACACTGATGATTCAATATTTGATATACTTGCACAAATATGGGTTGAACGTGCATTGTTATCATGAAATCTGAGGGATCAATGTCGTTGTTAATATCACAGGTCAAGAGCTACAAAAGAGAAAGCATTATAGCTTGGCTTAAGCGAAGAGGAACCACTAACAAAAGTCTATGTAAACCAACTTGCAAATAAAAAATAAAGTGATTATCTCAATGGTCAATTGCATATACACAACATATCACAAGACTCAATTTAATGCTTGGCTAAAATAAAGATCAATAAAATGCTATAAATTAAGTTAATTCTTTCAGAAATAAGTTTATTTAAACTAGTCTCTCACAAAGATGTTCCTGATAGTGCATCAAATAAACCACTCGTCTTAACATGCTATAAATTAAACTAATGTTCTCATAATCAATTTTATTTAAATCTATACATTATCCATAATACCTAGCAGTGTATATGTTTTTTCAATTCCCACAACACCATAACAAAAAATATATTCATTCCTCCCATACGTAACAACTTCCACAAGTTCCAAAGTTATGAAAAGAAACTGAAATTAACTGTATAAATAACACACCTAAGGATACATCATCCTCATAAACTAATAATGCACAATTGGCATTAAGGATACCCCTATCAACTAACTACATATATGTTCAACATCATAAATAAGGATACCCCTATCAACTAACTACATATATGTTCAACATCATAAATAGAAACTACCGTAAGAAAACATCATAATCATAAACCATGAATACGTAATTAGCATTAAGGATACCCTATCAACTACGTATATTAATGCGTGTTAAACGCAACTATACGGATTGTATCAGAGTAATATAAAAGGTTGTCGAATTTCACAAAGACCTAACGGTTAATCGATCGTCTTCTATTGCTACGGTGTTTAACTAAGGCGGTTGTAAAAAAGTTATGGAATAAAAACAAAATAGAATAACAAAGTTTTAATAAATCCAAAGGTGTAATACTGGAATGTGGTTTTCGTCAATCGATGACACTCCTATTATCTCTAAATAGAACTACTTACGGGACAATATTTTCTCTCATGAAAAAAAACTTATTTAAAAAGGAATTGTCACTTTCAATTATTCGTACATATGACGTATTGCTGATTTAATATTCATTAATGTAAAGATTAAATTGTTACAATTTTCTTTTTTAAGAACTAAAATTCTTATATATATTTAAAAAAAATACATTTAAATTTAATTTTAACAAATATCACACTTTTCATGATAATTCTTTCTTATACCGATGTCTTTTTACTATTATATTAAAATTTTCATTGTCATACACTCATCTGTCTTGATTGTTGAATTTTAAAATTTCTTATACGATACGTCTTTTTAAACAACTTTTCATCACTTCTCCTTATATTAAAATATGATCTAAAATATTGATTAATACACTTTTAGTGTCAATCTTGAACGTCTCAAGCATGCGATTTTCATTTTAATAACTAGTTAGTCACACGCATCACAAAATTTACATGCTCATATTTTTTTATTGTTATTGTTGAGTTTCGAAATAAATTGCACGTGTTTTTTCAAACAACTTTTCATCACTCTTTGCTATATTAAAATATGATCTCAAATATTAATCAATGCATTTTTATTGTCAGTCTTAAACTACTCAGGTTCGAGATTCTCATTTTTATAAAATATTTAAGATGAATTCTTATGTTGATACTCTTCTTTGTTTAGGTCTTTCTAACTAATTCTTTTAACGAATTTTAAATTTTTTTTCTTCTTCTCCGCGTATAGAGTGCTATAATATCCTCATTTTGTTGTTTAGCTGTCTTACTTTTCTCTTTATAATAAATAAAATATTAATACAACAAATTATCAATTATTATAATTAAAATAATTTAATTTCTCTTCATCCTAGATTCAATAAGAAATCAAATTAGAGTAATCAACTCGATTTCTTGCTATATATACGTTACAAAGACCATCGTGCCCTAAAGATAAAAATGCACAAATCGGGTCAAAGGATCTACCGGAATAAATTTTGACGCCCGCATATTTACACCCTGTTCGATACCCTCACCATCCCTCCCCTCTCTCTTTCTCTCTCTAAAGTTGAAACTCGAGCTTCGGAAAAACCAAGCAAAAACCCAAACTGCTTCAATTTCATTTCTGATCAAGGTGAGTTTCGCTCCTTTTTCTTCCACTGTTCAATCTTCTCTTTCTCTTACTTGATTTTTGATTTTTTACTGGTTTCGATTCTGTGTGATAATTTGTTGCATCTCGTTAAGTTCGTTTTAGCTTAGAGCTTATCTCGAATCGCTTAATTCTATGATCAGAGTAGTTAATTTGTTTGAAGAGTTGTTTTTTTCCTTCTTTCTGTTACATGTGTATTTATTTAGGGAAGATTTGGGGAATTCAGTAGCTTCATCGAGCTGAGTTTGATATGTGTTATAGGTTTATGTTCGATGATTGATTGTGTAGCTTTGGATTTTGGCTTGATTTTGATTAAGTCGTGAGTGAATTTGATCCGCAATTGTGCTTTGACTGGTAGTTTTATTCATGGAGTGGAAGTATTGAGTTTTAGCTTTACGCAGATATTGTGATTTTCACTATACAAATACAATAGCTGATAACCAAACGAGTTAGTTGATCAAGAACTTGGAATTGTATATTTTAGTTTTGCTGATACTATACTAGTAGGTCCGTCTCAAACGAGTTATTTTATTGAATGGAAAGATCTATTGGGCTATGTGGTTATGCCTTACACATTTATGGCTTTTTTCGAAGCGAGGTTGTTATTTTTTCAAATGTGCCCTTGAAAGAGCTTTACTGAGCCATGTACTTTCTTTTTGAGTAGATTGGTTGTATTTCATAAATTACGTCATCTGAAGTTTTTGTTTGGTAGTATTATTTTTTCTACCGATGTAAATGTTGCGAAGTAAAATTCCTCAATTGGAATTATTTTCTTCAATTTATTCATGGGAATATTATTTATTGTATGTGATTTATGACTGTTATAGTTTCTGCAATGCACCGCGTGGGTAGTACGGGTAACGCAAACAATTCAACTCGTCCTCGAAAGGAGAAAAGATTAACGTATGTGTTGAACGACTCTGACGACACAAAGGTGATCTCATTATTTATTTATATGTTTTATTTGCTCTAGAAAAACTGTCAGAGTTTCATAACTGCTTCTTTTCAGTTGCATACGTTATCCCCACTAGAGTTGTCTTTGGTATTATACGTTATCTACTAGTTGAGAATGATTGGACATCTCATAATCAACTCTTGCAAAATTTACTTGGTTGGATTAAAATATAATTTATATCTTTAGAGTGGATCCCCAATTCTCCCTCAAAATATTTTTTTGAAGTTAAAGTTTGGTCCTCGAAAGATTATTGGCGTCCAGTTAATCTTCAAGTTGTAGTATTTGAATGACATTGTTTTGATCTTAGTAAACTGTATTTGAACTTTTTAAAATTTTAAAAACCAAACATTTGAAAATCAAATCGATGTAATAGTTATGTGAGGATTCTGTTGATTTAAAAAAAAATATATTACAAGGTTCAAAATGGAGGCCTTCTCTAAATATTAATATTACCTACTCCATTCATTTGTAAGTGTAGTTCAAGGTAAGGACGCAGAAACTAATAAATGCAGTTAATGTATTTGTATTGAAATTGTTGTTTAGTAACTAGCATCTTAATCTGGGCAACACACAAGGAAAGATTTTGGTTAAATAGTAACTTTTATCTCTTGGCATTTCTTTTTCTTATTAGTTAATTAGATGAAGATAAATTATAATTCACAAAATAGTAATTTTATCATGTTAGTGGACAGTTAAGTATGACTGCAAGGGAGTATTTTCTCTTTTTAAAAATTGAACCAACTATTTGGTGCTTTGTGTAATTTTCCTTTACATTTAAACATTTACCCAATAATCTTTGATCAATCAAAGCTTCATTTATATTGATATTTGACATTTTTCTGGTAGGTGCTTAGCATTTTGGTTATATAGGTTTCAAGTCATGTCAGATATTCTATTTTTTCATTAACATCGTTTGCTTAGGTCAATTTTGATAGTTTTCTTAGTTCCTTGGTCTACTGTCTTTTAAAATTGTTTTTTTTTTTCCTACAGCATTGTGCAGGCATAAACTGTCTTGCCCTACTTACATCTGCAATATCTGATGGGTCAGATTATCTCTTTACCGGAAGCCGTGATGGCAGGCTAAAACGATGGGCGCTTTCTGAGGATGTGGCAACATGCTCTGCCACCTTTGAATCTCATGTGGACTGGGTAATCCTTTTATTTATTGCTTCTTTTTCTTCATGCCCATTTATTTGGAGTAATTTATTTTCGTAATGCTCAATATTTCTTTACTATAATTACTCAAAGCTACATCTGCATTTACAATGACACCCTCCCCCCACACAAGTTTTTTGACCTTTTCATATGCAGGATATTTTGGTGACCATTTAGTTAGATTGTTAATATTGCATTTTTAAATATCTCTAATGTCTAATGTCTAATTTCAATTCTCAACTTATAAATTTTTTACTCACATATTTTTATTTGCATTTGATTTGGATGTGCTACTGTAATGGGACACTAAAATGTTGATTCCTTTATAACATGAAACTAATGCAATTTATAACTTGTGCACAGCAGTATAAGTTACAGCTGAATAAATAAATGTTATTCTATTCTTGCAGGTTAACGATGCTGTTCTTGTCGGTGACAACACACTCGTTTCTTGTTCTTCAGATGCAACCCTTAAGGTTTGTTCATTGCTGGCTGTTATTTGTTCTGATAGTCCTTACCATTCCATAACAGTATCAGCACTAATATAATTATATACTCATTTTGATTTTTAATTGGGTTGCTGTATTTTTGTGCTAGACATGGAATGCTTTGTCCACTGGAACTTGTGTTAGGACACACCGCCAACACACTGATTATGTTACTTGCCTCGCAGCAGCTGGAAAAAATGTAATGTACTTCAAATTTCATACGCTTCTTATTAAGTTCATAAAAACGTTGGTTTTCTTGTTTTAACACGTTCAACATTTAATCTAATAGTCACTTTGGACCAATTAAAAGTTTGTATCATTGTCAAATCCGTTCTCTGATCCTTTAATAGTGTCTGCATTTTAGAGCAATATTGTTGCCTCTGGTGGCCTTGGCGGGGAGGTTTTTATGTGGGATATTGAAGCTGCACTTGCTCCAGTGTCTAAGTGCAACGATGCTACGGTTGATGAGTCTACTAATGGTATTGCCAACTCATTACCTTCGACAAACTTGCGTAATATCAGCTCAAGCAACAGTATATCCTTGCACACTACTCAAACTCAAGGGTACATTCCAATTGCTGCCAAAGGCCATAAGGAGTCTGTTTATGCATTGGCCATGAATGAAGGTGGGTCGATTCTTGTCTCAGGTGGCACAGAAAAGGTACAATATGACATACACTCTGACTTAATGTTGCTTTTTACCTTTGGACTCTTAGATGATATTTTGTTTGAAGTGCAGTTTCTTAAATTTTCCACTAGCTAGATTATGTAATATTATCTCTGACCTAAAAACATGCTTCATTAGTTCTTTTATTAATTTGTCTGGGACACTCTAGGTTGTACGTGTTTGGGACACAAGATCAGGATCAAAGATTCTAAAGCTTAAAGGGCACACAGATAACATCAGGGCTCTACTTCTGGATTCTACTGGCAGGTTTGTAGAAATAAATATTTAAGTTTGGTGGCAAATTTTCAGTTGACATTTATATTTTAAAGTTTGTAACCGGCTTTTCCTTCAATTCATGTATAATTTCGTTATTATTAAAAAAATTTCCTCACCTTTTTTTTATCCTTCTACTTTAGCATTTGTTTCCTTCCTACAACCTATAGATAGATAACAATACACATGATAAACTTGTAATACTTTTCTTTGGGCTAGACCTAACTCTAAGAAAGTTAGGTCAGGCTGTTAGGATTGCCCAAGCCTTATAATACTTTGGTCATACCTCTAGTTGGCACGGCATTCAACACTATTTCTTGCCTAGGAACGAACATCTGAAGCATGAAAAAATGCGGGCATCCCCTATGTCGTGATAAGTGGCACAATAGCATGCGATTACGGAGCAAAATCAAGGTCTCTGCTGTGATGTGAAGTGCTGGTGCAGAGTATTTTTTAGATGTGGCGATTGTGGCTGCCAACCGCACTGAAAGTGTATCCCAACGACTAAAGTGGCTTCCTTCCTCCGTAGATTCCCTCCATCAAGGTTTTAAGGACAGCTCTGTATCATACGGCTAGCTTGCGTTTTCAGGTCACAAACGAGGACTTAGAGATGAGAGAATAAGAACACAAATGATCATGGCTTGGCTCAAGACCACTAAAAAAATTAATCTGAAAACAAAGAAATCCATCCGGGCATTACTATTCCTATGATTTTTATTTTTTTTTGAAATGGCAAATGTTAGTATTGTTAGTTTTTTTAATTTTTTATGCCGGAGGTAGGGATTGAACCCCAGCCTCTTATCACCCACACTAATCCTATTAAGTAATGCACCATACACACACACAATTATTTAAAATATATAATTGTTTAACAAATTTGAAAATAAATAGAACTTTTATATATAGTATTAATTATTTAATAAATATAAAAAAATTAGAATAACGGTCATCTCACTGCAAGTTATACCGATATTTGGGTTTTGGGACTGCTTGCTATCTATAATTAATAACGGTGACCCAATAACAATATCTCTCATGCCTATGCTTGAACATTCAGAGCATGGACAAATACAGGTGGTCCAAAAGCAGATTTAGGTTAAGTTCTGATACCATGTTAGAGTTTGGGCTAGACCTAACTCAATCCCAAAAGCAAGCTCAAGAGGTGAGAGTTGCTAAATCTATATAAGAACTGCTTTGGCGATATGCCTAGGATCCCAAGAGCTCTCATTGGCTGTGTTACAGTGGAATGCTATTTGGTAGTCATCACAATGAAATAAATGCTGCTGGGTTTTCATTGCTATTCTATGCTTCCATGCCTCATGCCTTTTTCATTGGATAAGTTTGTTATTTTGAATTAAGTCGTATAGTTGTACTGCCCCCCTCAAACAAGTCTGCTGTAACACATTATTTCATTATTGCAGATATTGTTTGTCAGGATCTTCAGATTCTATGATAAGGTAATGCACGCATTTGGTGTTGTTAACATTTCTATTTGTTTTGTTGCGTGGTTGACTAATAATCTTTCCTTGCAGGCTTTGGGATATAGGTCAGCAGAGATGTGTTCATTCCTATGCAGTTCATACAGATTCTGTTTGGGCACTTGCCAGCACCCCAACATTTAGTCATGTTTATAGTGGGGGCCGAGACTTTTCAGTGAGTCCAACTTCCATGACAATAACATTATTATTATTTTTTTATTAATATGACTCGCATTTATTTGACATCTTGTTTTGTTTAATAACATGTGGAGATCATCTTTCTAATGCCAAATTCTTCCATGCCTTCAGTTATACTTGACAGACTTGCAAACAAAAGAGAGTAGTTTGCTTTGCACCGGCGAACACCCTATTCTTCAATTGGCTTTGCACAATGATAGCATATGGGCTGCATCAACAGATTCTTCAGTTCATAGATGGCCTGCTGAAGGATGCAACCCTCAAAAGATTTTCCAAAGAGGCAATTCCTTTTTAGCTGGAAACTTGTCCTTTTCAAGAGCAAGGGTGTCACTAGAAGGAGCTCTCCCAGTATGTCACATTTATTTCTGATGAATCACCATATTAATTTTCTATTGTTTTATCTTCAAAGTATTGTGTTACTATGAAAACTCATTATACCAGTTACTTATGTAAATGATGTATGCTATCGAGTATGATTAGGCTTTGTTTGGGAGTTTGGAGGGGAAGGGAGGGGAGGGCTTTGGAAAAAAGGAAGGATAGAGTGGAAAAAATTGAAGGATTTTGGAGGGTTTGTTTTTATTCATCACACAAAATTTCCCTAATTTGGGGAACTCAAAATTTGTATTGGACAAGGGTTTTGAAGGCTTACAAAAATTCTTTAAATATATTAAAAATATAGCAATGATAAATGTTTATTTATCATTCTATTCAAAAGCACAATTTCAAAAAATGTTAAATATATCTCTTTTTTATTTTTTTCAAATCCCCTCCCCAAATCCCTTCCTTTCTCTCCCCTCCAAATTCCCAGACAATGCCTAAAGAAAGCCTAAGAGTATTGGTTAAAGAAGTACAATAAACAAGAAAAACATTTATTATCTTAAAAATGACAAAAACATTCAATCCATATTTTTAAAAATAGTTAACGTAGTATATCAAATGCTCCTTTATCTGTTTTCTTAGGGAATTTGTTTGTGAAAAGACCCTACAACTTTCTTGGAAGTTAAGAGGGTAAGGAAGGGAAGGGTTGTGGAGGGAAATTTATTGCCTTCTTTGAGAGTAAATTTTGTTAGAAGAGGGGGAGGAGAATGCTTATGATAGATCTTTTTTTGTTTTGAGAATATTATAAGACGATGTAAACGATTTGGAGAATTTGCCTAAACTAAACCTTCCCCTAGCCTCAGTTCATTTCTTGAGTTCCTCTCTTCCATATAGGAGTTTTAGTTTTACGGAGATAAATAGATTCCCTGCAAAGTGGGGGAGCTATCCTCCCTTTCTCTTCTTGCTTTTCTTCAAAGCCTTTCCCTCCCCTTTTTCTCCCAACTCCCAAACAGATCTAAGTAAATTTATAGATGAAGCATGTTTCCGTATATATCCCATATTATTGCTTCCTATTTGTGAGTATGACTGGGTTTGCCTTCAAAACAGATTTTGTTGAAAATAAGTTGTCTTTTCGTTTTTTCTGTTCTCGGATACTTGTAGCTGTCTAATTTGTTTTGAAGTTATAAAATTATAATAGGTTCCTTTATATAAAGAACCCACCTTAACTATCAAGGGAACCCCTGGAATAGTGCAACATGAAGTTTTAAATAACAAGAGGCATGTGTTGACAAAGGTAATTGTGGTATTCTCTTTTCATGTTACTGTGCCATACATGCTAATATTGTCATTCATTCTTCTGTAAACTTGATAAACGTTATTAGTTACCTGTTGAACTGATAATTCACTGATGATTGGCACTTGGTGTAGGATACATCTGGTTCAGTGAAGCTTTGGGAGATTACTAAAGGTGTTGTGGTTGAAGATTATGGGAAGGTGACTACTGGTTGATTTTCATTTGCTAACTTGCATTGCATATTTGCTGGGGAAGGACTCGCCTTTATTGAATGATGTTTGTGACTTTCAATTATAACCAGCTTATTTATTGGTTCGAAATAGCTCATGCTTTGCTTGTGGACTATTTAGGTTTCATTTAAGGAGAAAAAGGAAGAGCTATTTGAGATGGTACACTTTGTGATTTACATTATGATTTTTATTTTAAATTACTAATGTGTTTCAAAAATATATGAATGTAATATTTTGTAAGCTGTGTGTTTATTTTTCTTTCTGTGCTGCGCTTCAGGTAAGTGTTCCCGCGTGGTTCACTGTGGATACGAGGCTCGGAACTTTGTCCGTCCATTTGGATACTCCCCAGTGCTTTTCTGCAGAGATGTATTCAGCAGATCTTAACATCTTCGGGAAGCCTGAAGACGACAAGGTACTGGCTCCATTTCATAAGCAATTTACCTACCATCATCTTAAAGTCCTTAGTATATTGATTTTGTTCCTAGTTTTTTGTATGCTGTAAGAATCAATATCAACTATTTGCTTGTCACTGGCAACTATAATAATTAATGTCAAGTTTATACAACTGACAACACCATTTGTCTCCTCATATGTGGGTCCATCATTGTCTAGCACGTGATCAACTTCCCATCTTACTGTTACTCCATATTCTTGCCCAGTTGGAAATGATTCCTACTATCATGATACTAGTATCATGAATGTGGAAGTATTCAAATGTCACATTTCTGTTGAACTTACATCGCCTGAGTTATATTACACGTTATGTTTCAATAGTTTATGCTCAACATTCTAAATCAGTGTCTGTTACTCTGCCCAGGTTAATTTGGGTCGAGAAACCCTAAAAGGACTCTTGGCTCATTGGTTAAGAAAACGAAAGCAAAGAATGGGGTCTCCAGCTTCAGCCAATGGAGAATTATCTGGAAAGGATGTTACTTCTAGAAGTCTTATCCATTCGAGAGCTGAGGTTGACGTGAGTTCTGAGAATGATGCTATGGTTTATCCTCCGTTTGAATTCTCAGTTGTTTCCCCTCCTTCAATTGTTACCGAGGGCACTCATGGAGGTCCGTGGAGGAAAAAAATAACTGATTTAGATGGAGCGGAAGATGAGAAAGACTTTCCCTGGTGGTGTCTAGACTGCGTTTTGAATAATCGGTTACCTCCCAGAGAAAATACAAAGTAATTTTTTGCCTCTCTTTTAATTTTTTCTTACACCAAGTGTTGCATTAAGACGTGGTTATTGCATATCTCATTAGTTGTTACTGCAGTTAACATTCTAATGCTATGATGATAATACATTTATCATCATCATCATATATATATATATATTTGTGCCTGATATCTTAGTCAAGGCATGTTTTGATTATTTAAAATTGGCGCTGCCCTTGTTAAGGACAACATGACTCTAGAGTGTTAAATGGAAGTTCTTTACACTTGCAATTTTCAATTAAAAAATGACGGTGCTAACACATCGTTTATACCTGACCTTTTCTATATGCTTAAGGAGTCTTATGAATCTATCTTTTGCCAATGGTATCTGTTTCTTGGTCTATCTATGTGTTGATTATTACATTATCTTTGTACATTTTTATGTACTTTGAATGGTTTTGGCGTGAAAATATCATAATTTTTTCCCTTAACTTTGTAGATATAGACAACAAATGGAAAATTGTCTATGAATTCATTGTCTGAGTTTGATGGAAATTCTGTTTAGTATGATTATCATTGGTCTTAGATCAGTTATATAGATTCTTTTGTTATAACCTCCACAGATGCAGTTTCTATTTGCATCCATGCGAAGGCTCTCCAGTCCAGATCCTGACACAAGGAAAGCTAAGTGCTCCACGTATATTAAGAATTCACAAAGTAAGTTTTCATATTTATATTGATTAACAATTGGGAATTGTAATTTCGTTAAAAATGTTTGCATGTGTTGTCGTTTTTGGTCAGTCTTACCAAAAGGACTAATATATTTTTTATTTAGGTCTTCTGTTTTTGTATTTTGGAGGCATACTTGTCCCACGTGACTATGCATTTCTGAATGATCAACTTAGCTTTCCTTTTATTGATGGTTAGGTTATTAATTATGTGGTAGAAAAGATGGTGCTCGACAAACCTTTGGATAACATACTTGCTGATGGTAATTTTCCCCCTGGACTTACTGGGTCACAGTCACAACTTCAAGCAGTCGGAGATGGATCTTTCCGATCTGGATCTGGATTCAAACCTTGGCAAAAGCTTAAACCTTCAATTGAAATATTGTGCAACAATCAGGCAAGTGTTATGTCATCTTGAACATGGTTTCAATGACATACATGTAATACAGTTCTCTAGATGCTGCAATTGAGCAATTTCATGCTTTATTTTTCTATACTTGTCCTACTTTTCAGTTCATGTTTATGCTTTCCAGACTCTTTCCAATTTATGCATATGCCATTTTTGTTTCTCATTGTGGCGTCTTATCGTAAGTTATCTAATACGTTATATATCTTCAAAATTGTACTTCATTTTTCATTGTAGTTTAATTTACAAAAGCTACCATTTTGACTGACTTTTGAATTGGTAAAATCTTGGGCATGTATCTTTAAACACGGTTTAAGTGTTCCTGGTTTGGTTGTCCCTATAATTAGCTCAACAATAAAGCTTTTACGGTTGATTTGAAATGATTGTTTGAAACACTTTGTTTCAAATCAAGCAACAATAAAGCTTCATTTAGCAAAAGCATTTATAGTCATGTGATAGGTTATCTTCACCATTGAAGTATTAAAGTGGATCACAATAATTGTATTTGATATGTAATTTTGAACATATGTCTCGTGATTGATTGAATGATGAAATCACATATTTTTTAACAAAAGAAACACTGTTTGACCCTAATTAACTGGAAGCTGTTTGATTTAATTTTCTATAGTCTTTGCTTTAATATGATACTCTCATCTTGGAGTGATGTAGATTTAGCTGACTGTTGTTTATTTCCAGGTGTTATCTCCTGACATGAGCTTAGCCACTGTGCGAGCTTATGTATGGAAGAAATCAGATGACCTGGTCCTAAATTACAGAGTTGTTCAAGGAAGGTGACCTCAAATTGGATATGCATCAAAGGTTGGTAATCTCGAGCTTTGCATGCTTTAATCAGCTACAATATGATATTAATTGATTAATGGTGTCGTTCCTGTATACTTTTTTCTTTTTATATTGTAAAAATAATTTGTTGCCATCTGGAAAGGGGAAGTCTTCTATTTTTTATGGAGACCATTTCTTTTCTTTTTATTGATGTAAATGTTACAAAAGTAATTTTAGTTGATGAAACCTAATCTTTGTTATTAATTTTTTCTCTATCAAATAAGAGAAAATTACCTGTGTTCAAATGGTCATTATTGGTATAGCTAATAATTTTTAGATTTCTGGAACTGTTGTGTAACCATTTTATTTCTTTACTAAATACAGTAAGTTTTATCAATAAAAGAAAAATCGGAGAAGGTAAGCGCATTTGTTTAATTGACTCTATGCTGAATTTACCATTCTATTTGGCTATGAAACATATATTTGATTTGTGTCGTCTCAGCAAGGGATTCTGACTTTATTATGATTAAAACTTGCAGGTTTTCTTGTGATTGTCTAAAAAACCTTTGAGCAGTGGTTCGTCTTTGGTTGCCTGCATCAATCGGTGGCATTGTAAGAATGTTGTAAATTCTGAACTCTCATTTGTCACCATGTTTAGTAGCATTCTCTTGACCAGCTTGGATAGTTTTTCTTTAGTAGAGAGCAGTTACTATAAATTTTGAATTATATCTAGCTGGAGTGCATACTTTTTGCTGGACATGATGGAGTCATAATCTGGATATGGCGCAAAGGTTTAATTAGTTGGTTCTGTTGGGAACTACTGGGGATCATGCTGGCATATTGGGGTGTTTCTAAAGGAATCAGGTGGTTAATTTAAGATGATAACGAAAATATTGTAAATTTGAATTGTGCATCAAATAATCTACCCATAGAAATTATGTTCTACAGATATATGTTATTCTCACTCCAGTCATTTACTTTTTTTTTGCTAATTGTTAGTTGCTAGTAATATTATTCTCGAAAGTTCAAATAAACTATTTTGATATCTATGGCTGGTTCGCAGCCAGCCCTGGTTTTGATCCCGTGCTCTTCTCCCTTGCTTATATTGGAATTTTTTGGTTACATAATGTTAAGGCCGAAATTCACCTGCAGTCACAAGATTCCGTGCAGACCACACAAAACACGGAGTTGAGGACTGTGTAATAGATCTTGATTGAAATTTCTGTAAGATTTAAACCGTCAGATCTCAATCAATAGATAGATCTTGATTGGAATTTGTGTAACATTTAAACTGTCTGATCTCAATTGGACAGTTATATAGCCCCTAGCTCTGAGTTGTGTAGTTAAGTGACAAAAAGTTAAGTCCAGAGGGGAATTTGATTTCATGAAAGTGTAGAGTTAGTGACACCAAGTTAGTTGTCACTAGGGAAATTCAATTTTATTTCTTAATCTAAGAACAAAAAGCATGTCAAAAACAACAAGGAAGTCACCTTAACACGTCAGTTGTTTTTGAAGATCAGTCAGAATCAATGTTTCGGTAATACTGAAAGCAACGATACTTCTAACTCCAAAAGAAAAAATAATAATTTGGGCATGTTGGAATCAATTTTGCTTTTTATTTTTAATTTTGCTTTTTACTTTATAAAATGTTATTTTTTATTCCACCTTATGGGGTGACAAATAGCCTATGAAAAATACAAACTGTCCCCTAAATTTTCAAAAATACATCTCAGAACGTATTTTATATTAAGTTAAATCATTAATTGATATGGAGATATATTTTTGAAATAAGTTAACACATGTCCCATGCATTTTTTCAATCAAAATATTAACTGATTCGAAAATGTACACCAAAATGTTTTCATGGAGTTTTATTAACGTTAAATTAGAATTTGATTGTTAAAATGAGAATTTTATTTTTTTAGGGTGCGTTTCAAAATAAAATTTCGAAAGTATGAGTTTTTTTAATATCTTTTTATTGATACTATAGTAATACACATGGCATTAAGAAATTTCTTTATAAAATTTTTTTAGAGAAATGTTTTTAAGAATACAACTAATTTTTTTTTTAGTTTGGTAACCTAACTTTTTAAAACTATTTTAGAAATGAAAAAATAAAAATATTCATTTGGTTAACTAGTTGTTAAAAACAGTTTTTAAAATGAGAAAATATAAAATCTATTTATAATCTGATTTTTAAAAATAACATCAAATGAAAAAAACTTTTATTATAATTAATAGTAATTTTTTTGTCTAATCTATTGTGCGCAACCCGATTAAATATTCTATTGATTCGTGAACTGACTTAATGTAAAATCTCTAGTTTTCTTAATTTAGTACGGTGTAAAAATTCAGTGGGATCAAGATCAATTTGATAAAAATTTCAGTTCAGTTTGTGGTCAGTTTGTATAAAACTCTCAAGTCGTGTTCGTTGTTTGGTTTGAAGATTAACTACTTTAAGTCATGTTCGTTGTTTGATTGGAAGTTAGTATGCAATTTTATTTTTCAGTATAAGGGATTTGTGAGCATAACTCAAAAATATTTAAATTTGAAATATAAGAACGAATTTTGTGTATCCACTAAAATAAAAAGATTAAAACTAAACCTAAATAGTATTTTTGAAAAAGTTAATCAATAATACATATATGCCAGACATATTTATTGAAATACAGTTTATATATTTTTAAATTTTAATAAATTATATATTAATATAAAATAGTGTTTTTATATATATGAATGAATTAATAATTATTAAAATATATATAATTGTGTAATTAAAAAATATTTAAAAATTAATTCAAGTTTAAAGTGTAACTATTATCGTTAACTTAATATTAATACTATATTATATAATTTAATAATGTAATATATATATATATATATATATATATATATATATATATATATATATATATATATATATATATATATATATATATATATATATATAAAAGAAAAGTTGAAATTTATCCTGATCTATTCTAATATTGTAAGTTAATTATATATGGAATACCTTTTGCGCTGAAAGTTAGAAGAGATACTCTTATTAAGTAATCATGACAGTGTTATGGTTGATTGAAAATATATATGTTAAAAAAATCTTACACCGATTAGTTTTGTGAATGAAGAGAGAGTCTAAGATTATGTATAAGAGACAAGTTTTTTGAAATTCCACGTCGCATAATTTTGTGATGGAAGAGGGAGTCTAAGACTATATAAGAATTTAAGTTCTTCATTATAAGATGCACAAGTCAAAAACATTTGTGTTGTAATCGTGTTACTTTTTTCTCTATGCTTTGTTTATTTTTTTCAATAACTGGTATCAGGCGTGGATAAGTGTTCTTAGTATGTTCTGTGGTTGCAGTTTTGTCTAATCTTCCACACCAAAAAAGAAGGGTAGTGTTGTGAAAGAGTTGTTAAGTTGTAGTCACAAATTTCGCTATGTAGTTTTGGTTAGAGAAAATTGATGGAATGATTTTTTTGACTTGTGGAATGTTCAAGTCAAAGATGTGTTGATACAATCAAGATTACACAAGGTGCAAGATTATGTCGATGGTTGAAGAACTTTCTGTCAACATGGAAGTTGCACCATAAAGATTTAACCTGATTTTCAACATATAAAAAATCTTGAAATGGTTTAACTTCAAGTGAAGTATACTTTTCTTTAGGAGGAGTATGATAGTTTTTAAAACTATGATTGTTGGTGAAGGCAATGTGAAAATCTTGGAATGGTTAAACTTTAAGTGAAATTTATTCTTTACAATGAAGTATATGATTATAAGTGATGACAATGTGAAAATTTTGAAGAGGTTTATCTTCAAGTGAAATATATTTTTCATGAGAGAGTATGATAGTTTTAAAATTATGATTGTAGCGTAAAGACAATGTGAAATTTTTTGGAGTGGTGTAATTTCAAGTGACTATACTTTGTATGATGGAGTATGATTGTCGGTGAAGATAATGAAAGATTATGAATAATAATGGTTAAATTATCAAAATAAATGGTCAAAAGTTACAACTATCTACAATTGAACTAAAGACCTTATTGTGATAAGGCGCATGGTCATAAGGTGCAACCACTAGATCAACACAATTTTTCATAAAATGGTTTGCTATTATTGATATATAATGGTTCGCGAATGATCATGTTTAAACCATTAAAATATTGTTTCTCCTCGTCAATTGGTATAAGTTTTTCTATAAATAGAGATACTTGTTAGGCATAAAAAAGACACAAAACTTCTTGTTTCAAGTGTCAAAAATTATATCTAAGTCAATCTTTTATTTGTCTTGTGCACGAGAATAAATGAGGAAACTTTATTAATTAAAATATAATTAATCGATAGACTTAATGTGAATGTACGATTCAGGTTAAGGTTTCCAAAGTATCCCGAAGGAGATTCGTCGGTTAACCCTTTTGCATCCAATTTGCATAAGTTGATGGGGTGAATCGAACCTAAAACTTAGTGTAAACACACGCTTTGGAATAATTTTGTGCAATTTTCATCGTACCGTCTTCATCATCTTCTTGTTCATGTTTTACAGCAGATCTCAATAGAAGATCTGACAATCTTTAGGTTCGAATTTTTATTTTGATCCATATTTTATTTATAATTAATATTAAAGTATGCAATTTTAAAGATGGTAACAACTTTCAATGTTCGTGAAAGATACACAGTTAATTCATATAATTTTTAAAATTATGGAATTTGATTTATGAATCTTTTTTGCTTGTGGTTAATTTGTGACTACAATGGAGAAATGAACCTCTGTGCTTCCTTATTCATTATGGTGAAAGGTATATAATTATATTAAATAAATATGTCATTTATATGATATTTTTAATTCATGTAAAATATGTTGAAAATAATATAATGCATAAATTTTAGATAAAATAATTTGGTGGAAAAAAATCATGAATTTGAATGTATGGTGCATGTATTGGTAACATGAAATGATGTAAATAAAATGTTAGAAATATCGAGGACATATTTAAATTGTATTGTTTTTGCAAGAATTTATTAAATTTAAAATGATGTATCTCATATTATATGTGTATCATAATATGAAAGTATTATTTGTGTTCATCCTGATATTAAAAGTAATTTTGACATATTTTAAGTTATTGTAAGTTGACAAATATTTATAGAGAAAAGTTATAGAAAATATTAATGATGTGAATTCATTGTTTACTTTGTATCGTGATTTTTATTTAGATATACCATAGAATATTGTTAAATATGAAACATGAATTTATCATATAAAATTTGTTATTATGAAAATAAGTACAGGATGAAAAAGGATAACCAATTAGGATTCCTATAATTGAATTCAATTCTTCACACTTATTAATCGTACAATGAAAGACATATATATATATATATATATATATATATATATATATATATATATATATATATATATATATATATATATATATATATATATATATATATATATATATATATATATATATATATATATATATATATATATATATATATATATATATATATATATATATATATATATATATATATATATATATATATATATATATATATATATATATATATATATATATATATATATATATATATAAAAGAATTGTCACTAATTAGCAGTAACAGAAAAAGTAAAAAAAAATAGCTATTGATAACAGCTACATAATTAATAGTAAAATAGATGCATATTTTTAGGCATAATAACAGTAGCTAATGCACACTTTTAGGCATAATATGTGCATATATTTTATTAGCTCAATATCCTCCCTCAAGCTGAAGCATTATAGATGTCTATCATGCCAAGCTTGGATAAAAATGAGTTGAATTTTGGAGGGGCCAAAGCCTTTGTGAGAAAATCTGCCAACTGCTCTTGTGATGAAATTGGTAAAAGTCTAAGAGTACCATCTTGAACCTTGTCCCTTACTAGATGACAATCTATTTCAAGGTGCCTTGTTCTCTCATGAAACACGGGATTGGAAGCAATATGAAGAGCGCTTTGGCTATCGCAATATAGCACATGCTGTCGTGTGGAAATGACATGTAAATCTTTCAACAAGTGAAGCAACTATTGTAGTTCACATGTTGCTGTCGAAAGAGCTCTGTATTCAGTTTCAGAAGAAGACTTGAATACAGTTTGTTGTTTCTTAGCACACCAAGATATCAAGGAAGAACCAATAAAAAAGCAATATCCTGAAATTGATTTTAATAAGTGTGAAAAGACTCTTATCTAATTAATCATCAATAGTGGAAACTTGACTCACCCTTGATTATTGTTAAGTCTTGAGTTCAATGATGAAAGTACAATATTAGAGTGATTGAAGTACTTAATGATAGATACATCCAAAGGGGTAAAAATACTTGGACCATAAGAATAAGTGTGGTAGGATGAAGTTTTCCTCTTAATAGACATATAGTATATGTTTGCTGGAATGCATAATTATGGGTGCATTTCTGATATAGTCTACCTATATGAGAATAAAGTGGTGCCGTTTCATAGAGTTCAATGACTTGACTCTTAAATTTTCATGAAAAGGATATGAGACACAATACCTTATTAAATGTGTCATATTAATAATTCGATTTATGATACCAAGATTTCATGTGTGAGTTATGCACGCTTGTTCTAATGAATAATTGGTTCAAAGCTTGTCTACTAATCTATTTGGGGATGAGTAACTCTCTGGAATTGAACCAAATACCTTATTGTGATAAGGCGCGTGATATAAGGTGCAACCACCAAATCAACACAACTTTTCATGAAATAGTTTGCTATTATTAATATATAGTGGTTCGCGAATAATCATGTTTAAACCATTGAAACATTGTTTCTCCTCGCCAATTGATACAAGTTTTTCTATAAATAGAGATATTTGTTAGGCATAAAAAAGACACAAAAACTTCTTGTTTCAAGTGGCAAAAATTATATCTAAGTCATTCTTTTATTTTTATTGTGCACGAGAATAAATGAGAAAATTTTATTCAGTAAAATATAATTAACCGATATGTTTAATGTGAATGTACGATTCACGTTAAGGTTTGTAAATTATCCTAAAAGGGATTCGTCGGTTAATCCTTTCGCATCCAATTTGTATAAAGTGGTGGAGGCGAATCGAACTTAAAGCTTAGTATAAACAGACACTTTGAAATAATTTTGTGCAACTTTCATCATATCATCTTCATCATCTTTTTCTTGTTCATGTTTTGCAGCAGACTATTTTGTTTCCAGTAAGTTGTATTTATATATTTCCCTTTTAGATGAAAGCAATATACTCAAATTGTGATATTGTAAATCTTAAGAGTGTAACTACGTGGTCGTCTCTACCCTCTCACATTTTAAATCAGTTGTGTTGGAATGCTCTTGACTCTTAGTGTGCCAACTGTCTCTTCTGTTCTTTTGTTTATTGGAATTCATGAAAGATTGTTTAACAAGATCAACCAATATATTATAATTTAACTTCATTGTCTATCACAGAAAATTTTAGTTCATTTCAATTTGCAAATAATGGCAGAATAGGTATTATGCTACATAGGAGAATTGAGTTAGGTATTATGCTACATAGGAGAATTGAATTAGGTATTATGCTACATAGGAGAATTTAATTGAAACCATAAAGAATATTTCATATAACTAAAGAAAATCATTATTATTTTTTATTATTATAGGGATGATGATCATCCACAAATATTTATCAGTTTCCAAATAACTATGTTACATAAAAATGAATAACATAATGTATCATATCAACAAATTTTCATGGCTTAAATGTTGGGGTTTGATCAGTTTCAGAAGGATAAAATGTTTGATGCATTTTCCTATCTATTAAATTCCTATAAGGATCCTCCTCTCTCTTCTTGATCAAGTAATCTATGTTTTTCTCAACTTCCGACTTTATCCGCAGGTACAATTCGTTCGCGTTTTCTTTATCTTTTACTATATTCTCCATGCCTTTCATTCGTATTGGCTTCCCGAATAGATAATAAAATCGGCCCGGTATTTTCGGTAGAAGCACTGGAAATGACAGATTTTGGTTCGCCACCTCGCCACTTATCTCATCTCTAAAGGTTCAAAAATATCATCACAATGGAATTATTGAATAAAATCACATTTCATAAACTAAAATGAAGAATAATTACCGAATTTTGACTGAGTCTCGGTTAAGATCTTTGATGTAATCATTGAGTATCGGAATCTTCATTAAGTCGTTGTAGTCAAGAGCTATCTGTAATGTAAGATTCAATCAGGAAAAGTCCAATAAAAAGCATGAAATTTTGGAGAGAAGAAAAAGCCTACTTCAGCTATATCATCTTCGCCTACAGCTCCAAACGGAACAATGGTAGCGCCAAATCGTGCCGCCATTCTCACGAATTCTGGATGATCAGGCCAAATCAACTTGTATTCTTCACCCTGGCGTTATAAGAGCCAAATGTTATTTTTACTAATAATATGATTACATGGAAAATGTAAGAGCGTAAAACAATTTCGGGGATTGAAAATACGATTAAATATAGATAGTCGATGAACCTTGAAATGGAGGGCCTCGCGTGCACCACCGGGATATAGAAGAACATGAGATTTAGTTGAAAGTAATTTAAAAAGATTGCTTGCTGAAACAGGCACGCCACCGAATATCTTCACCCAATCAACCATAGAAAACTCAGAAGAAGTACTTTCTATTTTTCCTGTAAACAGATCGGGATGGGCTATTCCGCGAAGAGCAATACCCTTCTGACTTAAAAATTCATCTGTAAGTGAGATAAGTTCTAATCCCAACAACATGTGATAACCGACGAATAAGACAGGACCTTCATCTGGAACACCTGATAGACCTTTTACTATCTTTCCGTCCTCCAATGTAGAGAACATCACAGATCCGGTAACAGATCGAAATAATCTGTCATACACATCATGTCAATAACATATTAGCAATGAAAATCTATCTATTCAGTTTTGTATCATTCGAGCTTCTATATGTGGCAAGCATAATATTGCTAAAACAAATTACCCGACTACTTGATCCATTGCATATCGGAATTCTGTCATACTCGGGGGAATGAAGTCCATGACCAAATCATGCCTCCTCGTACGGCGGTACATGCAAGTCCCCTTGATGATTGTTAACAGACCAATACAATCTTCCTGCACTACCATGCAGATCATAATTAATCAACTAAGATGCAGCTATTACCACAGAAGATTACATAGGCCGCAGAAAATCAGATTTAAGGAATACACACTAAATGTCAGTGCCTCTTCCCAGAGCCGTCTCAAATTATTGGAGGTCATGTGTAGACTAGTCACAGTTAAAATAGACCCTATTTAGTCACAAATAAATTATTGGTTCTATGCGGTTGTCCGCCCTTAAAGACGACCCTGCCTCTTCCGTCAGACATTCAAACCGTTGTTCGACACATTATATGAGATTAGTCCTTCCACTAGACCTAAACACTGACCAATGGTTCAATTTCAAATGAATGATCAAATCGGAACAAATATTAGGTCCCATGTTTATTTTAAAAAGTCGCATGATTAACGTTGATGATAGATGTAAGTATCTCTATCCATAACACATACCAAAAGAAGGGTGTGCCCGTTGTCCTTAAAGATACGAATTTTGCAGTTCTTCAACGTACCCGCGAGTCTTTGAGCTTCATTCACACTAGGAAGCATGTTATCCTTGCCACTAGAAAGGAAACATCATCAATCTCAACACCCAATTTGAATCCCAAAAATTACACAATATTTGAATGAGACATCCAATAATAGAGAGATAAGAACCTAGCAAGTACAAGTACTTCAGCTCTGACAGCATGCAGACGCGAATTAGTATATGCAGCAGCTGATTTGAGAAGTTTAATCTTCCAAAGAAGAGTGTCTTTTGGTATAATATCAGCCAGCTCCTGACAATAGATCGCACAAAGTAAACGGAAAACGATAGAGGAAAAGATGGATACTACTACAAAATAAGGGATACAAACAAGTTTATGAGGTAAATTCATTAGAGCATAAAATCAAAAGCTTCTTACTGGAAGACATGGCAGCAATGAAGTAAGATTGTATGATAGTTGTTCCATTATCTTCGTAGGAGGAAGCCCGTTTCCAATATTGACTGATGCCATCTTCAATGGTTCACCTGATGTTATGAAATTATATTCGTGAAAAATGACGTGCAAAAGGATTATATCACAATGAAAATCAGAGTCGATTCAAGTTTCTGGAGGTTCTGTGTAGGTTAGCATCAGTTTAATCACCGTAAAATATGTAAATGGAAAAGTCGAGAGTGCTGAGAAATCAGATTGTTTACCCATAACAAAACTAAGAAGAAATGGAACGGCTACATGTAGTTCATCTGGCATAGCCTCCAAGATAGGTAACAAAGGTTGCAACTGCGATCTACCAAAGGATGTAGCTGTGATTCAAATTGGACAAAACATTACCAAATAAATAAAATATGTGAAAAAATTTGACATAAAGAATACAACACTAACAGACTCACCAGGATTGACTAAAATAAGTATTAGATCAACTGTTGGATTACGAGCGGCAACGGCAAGTGCAAGGCATCCACCTAAGGAATCGCCGACCAGATAAACCGGTTTCTTTGGCGATAGAGCATACTCAAGTTTAACAGCTTCTTCAACAAGTTTCACCAGACCTTCATAAAATCAAAAAACAAAAAGTAAAAGCTTTCAGTTCATGAACAAATAAATCATAATGCACAACTATCGTGGCTTCATTCAAAACAATGAACATCAAAAAGTTGACAAAAGCATACGTTAAAAAGCAAAGACCTTCAAATGGCGTTCGATCACGAACAGGAATATGCAAGCAACGAACTTCAAAAAACCTGATAATAAGAGGAAGCAAAAAATATAAACTACATAGAATATAGCTTCTGAACCAGCAGAATAAACTTGGAATGAGGAGCAGCATAATAAAGTAAAAGAGTTCATCACAAATTTAGTTTAAAGTTTTTGCATACTGATTTAGAAATAGAACAGTATTGTCCTAAGATATTACACTTTTATTAAAATATTAGAAGTAATGTACAGAGTAATAATTAAATTACACAATTGAAAAAACTGTAATCATTGTTACATTCAAAGTGAAAATTACACTCATTTTAAAACAAATTTTATTAGCTAAAACGACAATCATTTTAAAATGGAGGAAGTCTGAAATACTTACACAGACATAGACATTATACACGTTGTTATTGACACTGACACTAGTAATAATTAAATAGTTTAATATTTTTTTAGTCTCGTGTGTTAATCTCATGGTTTATTTTAGTCTCTTAACTTAAAAAGGTTTATATTGATTTCTTAACTCTTCAAAATGTATCATATTAATTCTTTTCGTCTAATTAACAACAAATTTAACAACCGATTACTTAATTTTTCAGTCGCTCATCAAACAAAGAGGATTAAAATAATACTTTGAAGAGTTAAAGAATTCAATATAAACTTCTTTAATCTAATCACCTTCAAGTAGGATTTTCAGCGGCAAAAATAGTGAAAGGGACTAATGTCTCATACATACAATTTAATTATAAAACCTAAACACGTGGTTATTAAACAAATGTGATTTTATAATAATGTTTCCATTAATATAAAATACAATAGAATAAAAAAATACAAGATACCTAGCAAGAGCTTGATGGTGCAAAGATAGACCGAATCCAGTCCCATCCATTCCTACAATAATTAAATCCAAAAACTACATTCTTCACATCCAAATATAATAAACATTATCATCACAACCAAACCAAAATTTTTTTTTTATTTAAACCAATTTATTTTGAAAATTGAATGAATCAAATAATTAATTATTTTAAAAATAATAGCATAAATGATGTTTTTAAAGAGATAATAGTAAGTGGTTTACCGGGAAGAAACATCATAGTGGGAGAATCTTTGGAAGGATGAGTGCTTTCAATTGGGCAAAACCAACGTGGTGGCCCACCGTCAAACTCGCAAATCTCTTTCGATAAAGCAAAGTAATCTTCCACCGTACGATTTCCATATCCATCGTCCCAAAGTGCTGCCAAACCAGCTTCTTCATCATCAACAACGGTAGAACTCAATGATGAAGGAGCCTTGTGTTTTACTGCCTCCTTGATAGCGGAACCGTTTTGGTTTGTTTCAACGGAAATAGAAGAAGAAGCTCTGTTGAATTGATCGGATTCAGAAGATAGGACATCTGAGTTACCTGGTGGTTGATGAACTTGAAGTTTATGGCGGTGTTTTCTTAGAGATGTTGTTGTTGTTGTTGTTATGGTGGAAATGGGTGAAACTCCGAAACCCATTGTTAGAGAAGCCATGGTAGAGGATGAAGTCAAGTGTTAACGGCTTCTTTGGAAAGACAAGTGAAAAAAGTTGGCTTGTTTTTATATCGACAAGTAAAAATAGAAAAGAAAAAGAAAAAAATAAATAAATATATATATATATATATATATATATATATATATATATATATATATATATATATATATATATATATATATATATATATATATATATATATATATTTTTTTTTTTTTTGATATTAGACAAAGGTGTTAAAGATATATAAAAACTGTTTGTCTCACGTGTCATTAACATTTGTATATAGTGTTTGAGATGTCTTTTATTAGATTATGTTATTAGTACCATTAATAGAATATGCCACATGTACTCTTTAGTTGTAATATTAGAGCATTTTTAATAGATGGAGTAAACTAAATGGGTAAACTAAGATACTTTTTGTGGACCCAAAGTGATTTGTAGGATTTAAAAAAATTATAGTTGATTTGAATAGTTTTTACTTTAATGATAGTTGTCTATAAGAAACCAAAACTTGATCCCACATTTTATATTTTTTATTCAAATTACCATTAATTTAATTATTTTAATTAAAATACATATAATTTTTTTAATAAATTTACCTTTAAAACTTAAAAATAATATTAAATATATTTTATTATAAAATTAAAAATGATACAAAATTCACAACAATAATACATACAAAAAATTACATTTTCATAGGAATATAATTATAATAAGGATTCGATTGGTTGAGATCCATTTGATAAATAAATAAGATTGGAAATTGAAAGAAAAAAACTTAGAAGTAAAACTGTGTGTAAAAAAAATTAAAATTTCTATAGAATTTATAGAAGGTAAAAAATGATAATATGACCGTTACTATTTTCAAATATCATATCCTTACTTTAATGTTGTTGGAATATTTTATTAATATTAAATAATATTATAATAGGTTTCACATAGTTAACGTTAACTATATAGATAATGAGAACTAAATTTTAGTTCATTTGGATGCCGTGTCAGCTCTCCTATAATGCAAATTTCTTATTACTAACGTAAGCTATAAAGAATTTTGGTTTAACAACTCTGCGTTAAAGTTGCTCTTAATCATACAATGTATTTTATATATATATATATATATATATATATATATATATATATATATATATATATATATATATATATATATATATATATATATATATATATATATATATAAAACTCATTACACTTTAATGAATAATGAGAAAATTCACATTTACATTCATAATTGTTTTTGTAATAAGTTTTTTTTTCTCATTTGAGTGCTTTCATCTTCTCTATGAAACTTGCTTCCATTTTCTCATTATATGTGAATGAACTCTCTAGATGCTCCAATGTTAATATGATATTATAGTCCTACAAGTTATAGTAGTCACTGTCTTTCCTTCTTGATCGATTCTCACTCATTCTCTCGTTTCGTCCATTTCTGAACTTCGATCTTCTTCATCTTTCTTGATAGTTTTTTCACCTCTTTGTGTGTTTCTTGCATCTCTGAAATTCAATCTTCTTCTTCTTACTTATGGCATACCAGAGCTTCACAAATTTTTCCATAAACTCAACAAATCCATATTATTTACATCCGAATGAAAATATGTCTCTTGTTCTAGTCACACCATTACTTAATGATAAGAACTACCACAGTTGGGCTAGGTCAATGCACATTAGGTTGATTTCTAAGAACAAAGAAAAATTCGTTGATGGAACTCTCACGAAGCCTCTGATTTCTGATCCTCTATATTCTTCTTGAATTCGTTGCAACACCATGGTTTTGGCTTGGATTTATCGATCAATTTTTGAATCTATTGCTAAATTTGTGCTTTGGGTTGTCAGCGCAACTGATGCATGGAGGAACTTGCCACTTCGTTTCTCTCAAGGTGATATATTTCACATTTCTGACATTCAAGAAGACTTATACAAATTTCGCCAAAGTACTCTTGACATTTTGAACTATTTTACTCAATTGAAAGTTCTATGGGATGAGTTAGAAAACTATAGACATATTCCTGCTTGTGCTTGTATTATACCTTGTCTATGTGGCGTTATTGCATCAGTTCAAAAATATCGTGAGCAAGACTATGTTATCCGATTCATAAAGGGGTTGAATGAAAATTTTACTCATTCTAAATTCCAAATTATGATGATGAATCCCTTACCAGATGTTGATAATGTTTTCTCCCTTATCATTCAGCAAGAAAGGGAACTTAACAATTTTGTTTCTGTGGTGGTTCCAAATGCACAATCTAGTGAAGAAGTGACTGTTTTTCAAATTCAAACAACATCTGGAAATTCAAATGACAAGACTGGTACAAATTCCACCAAAGGCAAATGGCAAGGATATGGTGGAGTATGAGGACATAGTCATGTTTGCACTCATTGTGACAGGACTAATCACACTATTGAAACATGTTTTCTCAAGCATGGATATCCCCCAAGTTTCAAAGGCAAGTGTAAAGCTCCAATTGCAAATTCTCAATCTCAGTCTGTTGCTTCGGTTACTGCAGGTTCAGAGTCTTGTCAACAAAGCTCAACAATGTCTTCATTGGATTTACTCAAGAGCAATACAACAACATTCTAGAATTAATTCAACAATCCAAGATCATATCCAAGACCAATTCCATATTCACATCTCCATTTGTCTTGAACTCACACTCCCTAAATTCCAATTATAAGAATTCCCACCTTTAGATCCTAGATACAGGTGCAACTGATCACATATCATTCTTTACTTCTTACGAAATTATTATTCCTGTCCACGTTAGTTTACTTGATGGCTCACAAGTCGTTGCATCCATGTCTGGAGTGTAGTCATATCCCTTGCCTTAACCTTAGACAATGTGCTTTACATTCCCAATTTTCATGTTAACTTGTTTTCTATTGCTAAACTTATTAATAGCAATGATTGTCATGTTAATTTCACTACTAATAATAGCAATGATTGGTACAACTAACTTCAATGTTAACATATGTGTTTCATAGTATTTTTTTATCAAATAGTTTAGTAACGGAGTGTTCGTGCTTCATAGTATTTTTTATGTCAAAAAGATTAATGATTGAAAATCACCTTTAATAATAAATAAGTAAGATGTTAGGAGTTCGAATTCATGCAATTATACTATTGAGTATTTTTCTTTGATAAAATTAAATTGTTTAAAAGAATAAATAGTGGTGGTGGTGATATTGAGTTGAAAAAAAAGTTAATAGAACGTGGTTAGTGGTTGTGGTGGATGGAATCACGTGTTTGGTTCTGAGCGGGAGAAATGAAAGAAAGGAGGAGTGATAGAAGCGAAATTGGAGGTACGCACATAAGTGTTGAGCTGTGACTTGTCTGCACGGCACAACCAATTACACGCATTCATCTTTGTTTTTTCATTAAAATAGTACTAATACATTTTCTTGGTATAATTGATGGAAATTTTCAATCAAATGTTCATTGAATGTTGCACTTTATCATAATATATAAAATATTTTTGTATCATTTATTATTATTATTATAATAATTCAAAAACAGTCTAGAGAATTTTAATTAGAAAATATTGTTAAAAATATTTAATTTTATTTATTATTTTCTGTCTTCTTATTATAAATCACTTAAAAAGAATTTGTAGACATATATGTGATTTGTATTGCTAATGAATAATTAATAACATTTTTTTAGTAAGTAATTTAGTGATTTGAATTTTAAATAAATAAGATATTGTAGGCTCATATCCGATATTTTTGTTGTATGATATTTTAGTATAGTTATCAATTAAATTGATTTAGCAAAAATATATTTTCGTATGTAAAATTAACTATACATATGAAAAATCTAAACTATTTTTATAATAAAAAGTAGATGAAGTAATTTGTATTTTTAAATATTTAAGTAATTAAGAAATAGAAAAACCATATGTGTTTCTTTAATGTAGAGATCTGCAATCACTTCTTAATGTAAGAGTCCAAAAAAATTTATACATAGAAGTATAATAAATAAATAAATAACTTTATCCAAAACAAATATATAAGAATGTACTTTATAAAACATGATTAAAAATAAAGAAGAATTTTTAAATGTATTAATAAAATAAAAAAAATTTTAAAAATCAATCCTCCCTCAATTTCAAAATGTTTATTGTTTAAAATTTTTGCACACAAATAAAAAATGTAATAATATTATCATAAAATATTACACTTTTACTAAATTAACCTTATAAATATATTGAAATTAGTGTACAAAATAATAATTAAAAGATACAATTGGAGAAATAACAATCATTTCTACGTTGAAAAGTGAGTGTGACGAAATCAAATTTTATTTACTAAAAGGACAATTATTTTAAAACAGAGGAAGTAATAATAGTTAAGAGTAATTGTGTCATCCCCATGACTCCATTGAACTGCAGTCCAATACCACAATGTCAACTTTTTTGGGGGTGCGGGGGGGTTGCTCATTAGACCTTTATTAAGGATATTACACTCTTGAAAAATCAAAATTGTTCTTCATGCGTTCGGAGATGCATTTTCTGACGCACTAAAATGCGCTCTTCTGAGATCCACCTCATTTTGAATAAAAAATATGGCCCTGAGATGCATCTCCGTATGGTACGAAGATGCATATCTGAAATCCCCTATGAATCATATTTGAACAACACCATTGTCCAACCATTCAATTTTTGCGAGGGAAACTTATATTAACGTAAAATCAAAGTAAATTGAAGTTATATTAAAGTTAAAGGAAAGTAAAATTCATACATTAATAAAAAAAAGTCAAAAAAAATTCATACATCACATTTTTCTGAAAATACAAAAAAAAAAATCCAATATAAACTAATTTGTGTGTCTAAGCGTCTGCCTCCTCCAGCGATTGTACTACCAGAAATTCCATAACTTGAAAACCATATGCTCCACTAGGGACCACCATCCTCAAAGAGTCCTCACTTTATGGGTGTTTTACCTATTTCCGCAACATGTCGATATTGTGAGGGCAAGTTGTCTC